AGGTTTTTGGGGGTTTTATGGATTTGGAAAAGGCGTAAAAAGGGTGGAGGGGGGGGAAAATGGGCAGATGTTGAGGTTTGGTGTAGGGGGGTTAGGTTACGAAAGCATTAAAGATTTTTACGGGGGATTGAGGCCAAGTTAAGTATGTGGGAAAGAGGGAAATTTTATTTCCCGTAAAAGTAGGCCTTAGAAAAAGGATGTGGATGTCACCGTGGTTGTTTAATATATTTATAGTGGGGTTCAAGGAAGTAAATGGAGGTTTGGCTTTAGGCGTGGAGTTAAAAGATAGAGAGTCCACATAAAGTGGGGTTGCACATTTGCTCTTTGCTTGACACTGTGCTCTTGGGAGATTCTGAAAAAGTTGCAGAAAATGGGGAGATTTGGTAGGGTGTAAAAAAGAAAAATTGAAAGTGAATACGGGAAAAGGAAAGGGTTATGGGGATAAAAAAGATTAGGTGATGAAAGATTGGATATCGGGTTTGAAGGGAGAGAGAGGGAGGAGGTGAATGTATTCAGATTTTTGGGGAGTGGACGTGCAGCGGAGGGTCTATGAAAGAGAGGTGAATCATAGAATTGTGGGGGGGAAAAGGGTGAGTGGTACACTTAGGATCGTGGAGAAAGAACTTTGTCCTTTGGAGGCAAAGAGGGGAATTTGAAGGGATAGTTTTTCCAAAGCTCTTATATGGGTTGGGAAAAACATGGTGATGAATGTTGCAGCGAGGGGAAGGCTGGGGGGCAGTGGAGTTCATGTCTGGAGCAATGTGTGGTGTGAATATAATGCAGGAAATTTGTAGTTGGAATTTGGGGGGAGGTGCGGTATTACCAAAAATGTTGTCCGAGGCTGAGGAAGGGTTGTTTGGGGGGTTCGGACATGGGGAGAAAGGAGCGAAACAGAAAAACTTCAAGAGTGATGTCTGTAGTGTTAGGAGGCGGGGGGGGAGGGGGGCGGCCTGGAAAGGTTTGGGGGGGGGGGGTAAAGGGGTTTTGTGTGCGAGGGGTTGGACTTCCAGCAGGCTGCGTGAGGTGTTTGATGGGTGAATGGAGGCAAAAAGGTTTTTTTTTACTTGACGTGCTGTTGGAGTTGACAAAGTAACATTTATGAAGGGGGTTTGGGGGAAAAAGGCAGGGGGGACTTTAGTCTTTGGGGTGGGAAGTACAGTGCCTGCCTCTGAAGGAGGGGTGTTAATGTTGCAGTTTAAAAACTGTAGTGTAAAGCACCCGTCTGGCAAGACAGTGATGGAGTGAATGATGGTGAAAGTTTTTCTTTTTCGGGCCACCCTGCCTTGGTGGGAATCGGCCAGTGTGATAATAAAAACAAAAAACAAGGTATGTCGATGGTAATAATAATAATCGCTCTGGAGCGCTTTAAATGTCATGTGTATTTCGTATAGGGTTGGTGGCTGACATTTAAAGTGCTCCAGAGCGATTATTACTACTGATTATTATGATGGTGAACAAGGAATGTTGATGGTATCATAATAATCAGTAGTAATAATCGCTCTGGAGCACTTTAAATGTCAGCCACCAACCCTATACGAAAGACATATGACATTTAAAGCGCCCCAGAGCGATTATTATTACATGTATTATTACCATCGACATACCTTGTTCACTGAGTTTAATCATTTCTTAAACTGCCACAAGAGAGACAGAGAAAGTAAACACACAGACACACCAGCTAACCTCTTTACTGTGAGCTTATTTTGTGCTTCTTCCATTTTCCTCTTGTTTTTCTCTTCCAGAAGCTGCTGCACTTCTAAATCTTGTACTGTGGGGTGCACAATTAAGTACAAATTTGTACAAATACTGTGTAGTCCTGGAGACTGTGAAAGCTAGTGTATTGAATGACTGTAGGAAGGAGATAGAGATGCTTGACACTGAGACGCCGTGCTGCCAATTTTCATGACCCAAGTTCTCGTATTGCATACAATACCGACTTGTGGGAGAGCCCGCCATAACTCTGAGTTGTTGGTAAATGAGTATGTCGGTAAATGAGGAGAGGCTGTAGTCTATTGCAACCTTGAATTCAAGAGCACTTTTCTCTAGTTTGCTGATGTATTTTCTAGATGGCATCTTGTACCAGAACAAACTTGTCTCATCAGCATTAAACACCTGCTCATGTTTGTAACCACTTTCAGAGTTAATGTTAGCTAACTCAGCCAGGAACTTTTCTGCTTCGGCTTCTTAGTTGAGAGAAGCACTCTTCTCACTGAACTTTATATTATGCAACCCACTGCACTTTCCAAATTGGTTCAACCATTCTGCACTAAAGGTGCACTCATTTTGGGGCTGTCCTTCCTCACACACTGTTTATAGTGTTATAAGACTTTTTACCTTAATAATAAGTCCATCAGATGGAACATCTTTTTGTTTTTCAATCCACACATTTAGTAAACTGTTTTATTTAACTGTAATGACATATTCCCATTCTTTTCACTATGTCACATTGAGCATTACTTATTGAATAAGCTTCAACTTTGCTTCATTGGCTTGAACTGAGCGAATTGTTGATTCTCTTAACACCAAACACTGGTGTCATCTCCACCCTTTAACATCTCAATTTCCTATAGTTTTTTCAAGATACAGGTAGTGTCATGCTTAATTTTCTTCCTTGCTTCAACAGCATAACTAGCACTTTGTTTGGATGCCTTGATAAATATCCAGAGACTAAACTGGGTGATGGAAAAATTGAGCGATGTGCACTGAGGGGTAAAATCACATGGTATGCATCCATATACACTGACTTGTGCAGGTGGCTGTTTGTTTACATTCCTCTGTCCTCCCTCGCACCCTGCCCCACAGTGCTAAGACGGTGGAGATGCCCATTGCCTTGCGGGTGCTTACTGTCTGCCTGTTGCAGCACTTCTTAACAAAAATGCATGACACCAAGGGAAATGAATTCTACTCTGGCGTGCCTTGGTGAAAATGGTGCATTGCTGTTGGAAATGAAAAAATAAATTTAAATTGCAGAATATTGAAAATGTGAACTATGATTGTGCAACTTATTGGTGCCTTTTGTATCACATAAAGTAACATAAATCATGTTTAATTACCATTTTAATTACCATTTGTTTATGGAGCATGTATCTACATTAACCATACCACAGGTGGATGAATTTTGTTGTAGTCAGCTGGCCCAGCGACTAACGTGTCAGTCTGGAGTTTTACAACTTGCTAACTGCTAGTTCAAGCTCCGCCTGTGGTATGGCTTGTTTGCAGTCGTGTCTTTATGATTTCGTGAGCCATGTAGCTATATGCCAAAATCTTTGAATACAAGTATGCTTGCAAAACTCACAATTGTAACAGTTGTGTTGTACATAAAGACACAGTATGAATACCTACATTGAATTCGTTGTTAAAGAACTCCAGGGTTAGAACCCCTCATGGGAGGCTCCTCAGTACTGATGATGACTAGTGATTCAAAAAAATTTCTGACCCCCCCCTCTTCTTTGAATTGAATGTGATTACCTCCTATTCTACCAGGTGCTGCATGCCACCTACAGGTTTAGTTCTCCCCCCTAAATATGTTAATAAAAAAATAACAGGGTTAAAATTTTTAAGCAGCATCAGCAATCATAAAAACCTTCAACACTGTGGAGTCAAGGAACATTTAATGTTGCCAAATAACAAGCCAGACTCACCTTATATGAGAAAACTTAAATAAAAATACAGTAAATTCTTGATTAATTGGGCCTCAATTTAATGGACTTCGGAAATATGGATCAAAATCCACTAGGTCAAATCAATTTGGGAAAAACACTAGTTTGGTTAGAGAAATTGTCTATTATTGTTGCAATTTTGGCACAACAATCTCATCTCTCCACTATAATTGGCATTTTCTGCCACCCTATTAATCCATTAAATCAAGTTTTTACCATGCAGTTGATATTATTGCTTGCTTGCATCACTTCCATGGATAACACCCAACTCTGACCGCTTTAACTTGTTTACCCTCACTCCCTCACTTTTCTTGTTGCATTACTCCTTGTATGACTTAAGCTCTACTCATAGTAGATCATCTGTAATATACTTGTTGGCAATATCTGCCATCCACTTGTTGGCAATATCTGTCATGTTAGAGAACATAGTCATCTCATAAGTTGATCCTCTTCCAGGATGATCCTTAACTCTTCTTTCCTCCCCAAATGTCATTTTTGTAGAAAGAGCCTGTATACACTACATTCCAAACATTATTCTAAACCACAATATTGTTACTGTAGGTGTTTGCCCTTCACAGTATGTACATTCTCAAATCCTCTAATCTTCAGAACATATGCGACGACTTTGATTGTGTAGAATAGTGCAACTTGCTGTTTAATGTTCTGTTCTACAGCTGTTATGTGGAACAGACTACCACAGTGTCTTGATGCCTTCACTCCCATTCATTGTGTAACAAACTACCACTGTGTCTTGATGCCTTCACTCCCATTCATTGTATAACAAACTACCACTGTGTCTTGATGCCTTCACTCCCATTCATTGTATAACAAACTACCACTGTGTCTTGATGCCTTCACTCCCATTCATTGTATAACAAACTTCCACTGTGTCTTGATGCCTTCACTCCCATTCATTGTATAACAAACTACCACTTTGTCTTGATGCCTTCACTCCCATTCATTGTATAACAAACTACCACTGTGTCTTGATGCCTTCACTCCCATTCATTGTATAACAAACTTCCACTGTGTCTTGATGCCTTCACTCCCATTCATTGTATAACAATCTACCACTGTGTCTTACTTGATGCTTTTATTTTCCATGCCTTCAAGAAGTGTCACTAAAGATATAATTTTCTTCAGTCTTGCACCATTGAGTGGACAGCTTTAACTCTGATATGCCATCTTTATTTAAAAATCCTTTTCTAGTGATGTGTAGCTTCATGTAAAAATTTTATTAAATTTTAGAGCTTATCACTGCATGTGAAAGTTATTATAAAGAGTGCCTTTGCATACAAGTTTGAAGCTGTTAACTGAGTACCGGTAATTACTTTTTTCCAGAGTAAAATTGATCGAGGAGGTACATACGTGGCCCACACAGTTAGGCCAGTACACGATAGATTAGGTGTACGGCACCCCAACAAAACGCTTAATAAGACGATCGTTGAACCGGTTAATGAGGATAAAAACGAAAAGGTAAATAATTGTTTACAAATAACTCACACTTCAGAAAGGAAATGTGTAAAGTTACTTCTCCAAAGTATGAGTTATTTGTGAATTGGTCCAGCCACAGTATTGTGACGTTTACTCATATCAATAATTGTTCAAAGTTTTTTTTTTTTGTTTTTCACTGAAAATTTGAAGCACTTGTAATACTGGTAGTTGGAGGAAGGTGGTGTAAGGTTGGAATTTTAGAGTATGTTTCATAAAGGGATTGAAAGATTGATGTTATTGAATGAGCAATAACTGAAGTAAACTGGTACTTTTTTTTTTTTTTTTTTTTTTTTTGAAGCACCACGGTCACATGTAGCAGTAGTATATTTATATGGTAAGTGGCCTAAATAATGTAGGCATATTAACACCTAATGACTGTACAGTAAATATGTTTACTTCTGTCACTGATAAGATTTGAGTAGAGTGTTTTCAAGCCTTCAATGAATGTTGTGATCAGTGCTAGATTAAAGGGCAGGGGCACTACTACTGGGTTCCCTATACAAAAAGGTCCCCACAACGCGGGTTTCTGGGCACAGCCCATATTCATATAATATGAAGAGGAAACAAATGTAAATCTGGTTGACATGTTATGGAAGAGATGTAGCCAAGCCATGGCTCAGTGCCACTTGTTTGTTTATTCAGTGTGGCTCGTATGACAATATTCAAGATTTCTTCCTGTTCTGGATATTACCTAATTTAGCCACAGTGAATGAGTAAATGGTTATCATGTGACTCATGAGTCACAACTGGGCACACCTCTTAACATCAGTAGTATGTAATTTGACAAGGAAGTTTTAATGCTGGGAGCCTCCACAACTTTTAATCTGGCATGCACTTTGATGCTGAGGAAAGTTCTTGATCCTAAAAATTGGAGTTACCCCAGTCTTGGATCAAACTTTATTAGATCAAACTTCATTACCTCCCTCTTTTCCCATGACTTGTGGTTTCATTGATTTCCCATGAGGGGTTATTTAATAAAGTAGTAATAGTTGGGGAAAAGGTTCTAAATTATTCAATAATCCGACTGAGATTATATTTAGGTTCCAGTGGGTCATGATTTGTGTTCGTGAAATATTTGTAGGCTTACTCAACTTTGTCAGTATGTAGTGAATAATGTTTTTACTTTGCAGTAAAAGTGAATTTTAGGGTTTGATTAGTGAATAAAGTCATTAGGCTCTCACTTATTCTAAATTGATTGTTTGGGTATTATTAGCAAGTATTGTTAATGAGAGGATGGTATACCTCTGTGTTACCTTGTTTATCATACATCAGCATTTCACTCCATTGTATTAATGCTTGTGTGTGTGTGTGTGTGTGTGTGGGTGGGTGTGTGTGTGTGTGTGTGTGTGTGTGTGTGGGTGGGGGGTGTGTGAAAAACTTGGAGCAAACATCCAGAATTCACAGAGATATCTGGGATTCACATATCAATCTTCCTGCCTGCATAATCATTTTCTTTTACAAAACTTTTGTGTTTTTTAAATACCTTTGAGACATGCCATATGAAAGAAGTATTTACAGATATTTACAAGAAAATATGATGCTGCATGCGATAGATTCATACATACACTGTATATGAGAAGTGGGTGTCCCATAACAACCTTCTTGCCCATGAATACAGTACTAAGTATGTACAGTACCTCATTTTTTTTTTTTAAATTGTCCCTTGTTTAAGCCACACCATTCTTATGGCAAAAATATTGGAGTGAACATGTGAAATATTCCAGTTTGTTTTTTAGATGAAATAAAAATTTGATTTTCTTTCTAATTTTCATAGTTAAAGCCATTTATGAAAACCCTTTGGTAAAAGTATTGGTTAATAGTTACTGTTAGTTGGATGTTGATTGTTTTCTTACTGTGTCATAATGTTAAGAGTTTGGCTATAGGAGTTTTGTTCATTTCATGCATAAATGTACTTGATTTATGAACTAAAATCATAATGATATGGCATGTCACAAAAAAAAAAAAGTGAAAAAGTTGGGATTTGAACCTCACCAGATTTTGAGCCTTTACAGAGTTGGATCCATAAAATGATTAATATGAAAGAAATGATATGAGGTCACACCACATGTACCAAATGAATATGCAGTACTGTATACAAGACAAGTAATTGATGTTTTTTAAATGAAGAACCACTAAAAATTGCCTAAAGCATTCTTTCAAGGATAATTTAATTCACAGTTGTAATTTTAGTTAATTGGATTTTTCCAAAAGTGGATAAATTTAAGACAGTGAGTTCTAAGCATTTTAGAATATTGATAATTCACATACACCCCTTTTTTTTTTAATTTGCAAAGATAATTTCATAAAATTGTTTGTATTGTGATGAATGCTGAAGTAGGAAGCCAGCAAAGCCCCCGTGCAGCCAAACTAATATGATGGAACCATATCTAGTTATGTTTGTTGAAGCCTGTCGTTTGCTTAGGTACTTGGCTATTCAGTATATTACCTTAACCACTGGCTATTTTCCAACTTTCACTAGGTGATGATTTCACGTGGCAGCCTAGTCAAGACTGTTTATAATACCCATGCTCTGCATTCTGCTGCTGCTGCCAGTGCAGTCAGTGCCTCGACATATACTCCCACGTCACCGGGAAGTGTCACACCTACCTCTCCTGTATCAGGCTCCCATTCCTTACCAACTTCAACTGGAGCTGTCACGCCCACCTCGCCTCTGTCTGCTCCTCCCTCCCTCTCAGCAATTGCACCCGATTCCACACATGCTGCCGCTGTTGACACGAAGAGACAAGAAATTGATGCCATTCTAAAACAGCGAGAGCTCTTAGCTGCTGAGGTATTGCATTTCTTTATTTAGATGTTATTTAAAATATAGCAGATTGTGCTTAATTGCAAAAGACAACCTTTGCAGTACAAATAAATGCATGCTTCAATAAAGCACTTTTAAAAATCAGACACTTGTGAGCTTGAGCTGTCTTGCCAATGATCTATCGACAATTTAATTCACTGAATTAGAAAAAAAATGTTTTAACATTAGTTAATACAGGCTTTCTTACAAAAATGTATACACATTTCATGCCAGTTATTTGTAAATACTGTAAAGAAAACATTGTTGGAATAATAGTGAAATCATGTGTTAGTTACTTTATTGCCACTCATACACCATATACACCAGGAAAATCCCATAGGTAAAAGTTGAGTGGAATCCAGTTCAGTCAACATGGCAGAAATGTGTGTACATTTCACAAAATATGAGGGGTAGGTTACTGAAGGTAGACTGATGCATGAATGTCAGTATTGAGGCCCAACAAAACTTCACTGGTAATAAATACCCTGGTAAACACAGTATCTAAAAAAAACATTAGCTTTTTAATATCTTAGGAAATTTGTAAATGAAATAAATCTTCACAAATATCTAAAGAAATCAACGTTGCTCAGTTTTAATATTTAAGTTTAGTCTCACAGTGTTGCCAAAAAAAGTCAGAAGTGATGTTGTCACCCATGTTTTTATCTTAACAGCTGATCAGTTAAGAAAATCTCGGTTACTGAATGGCAGGCACCCTTCATGGGGCTTTCTTGAACCAAGGAAGTGAAGCTACCCTCTCCTTCGGTCCAGACAGAATTACCTCCATCTCTTACTATTAATGAGATGTAGAACCTTTGACCTTAGTTTAGGCACTGAGGAAGGTCATATCACTTGTCTGTTGCTATTGAGAAAAGGGATAATTGACAGTCTAATACAGGACACTTATGTTGCAACATGACCAGTGAACACCACTGTTTGAGTATTTAGTGTTTAGTGTTGAGTATTTACTCTTGGCTGAATACTATGCAGCCTCTCCTCACTTAGGGATGTACTCATTTACCAATGACTCAGACTTACAACTGGCTCTCTGACCAGTATGCATACCTAAATAATGTATATTTGAGCTGATTTCCTATTTCTGTTTATTATTACAATATACAATACACTATAAACATTTAAAAATATACTAAAATTATAAATGGTGCAAAGGTGACATTAAAATAATATCAAAGATAGTTGATACAAACCCACTACCATTATAGTGTGCTCCTTGCTTAGCGATGAATTCATTGACCGACGTGGTTGGCAGGATTTCTTAAACAGTAGAGTGCAGCCCCCATAGAAACCATGAGTAGAGTTAACCTTCAGACTGATCAGTCGTCTGGCAAACTGATTGACATACACTTTTTATTAGCTTTTTGTTAGCCAGTTTTTCAGATGTATCATGGTTGTTGTCTCATTTTGTTTATTTGTGGTTAAATAGGTTTATGTAACTTGCCCTAATCTAACCTGAAGAAAATAGCTGCTGGAAATTTTCAGGAAAGGTTGGGAAATTGATGTTGAGTACTGTATTAGAAAGGTAATACAGGTCGACCATTGTTAATCTGGCATGTAAACGTTCAATGTTTCTTGTTCACTTTTAAAGCTGCTTTGCTGTAGTCCTTTTAGCAGTTCACCTGTCAACCGAATTATCCTATCAATAGAGACACTAGCTGAAATTAGTGCTGGATTAGTGATGGAACCGCATTAGTGATTGCTGGATCAGTGGATAGGTTGCGTATAGAAAGTCACCCAACTGCCTGCAGATTTCAGTTACTTGAAATATGGTAGTCCTCCCAAATTTGTGGGGGTTACATTCCAAGACTACCCCTGAATTTGGAAACACCGTGAATTCTGGACACGGTTAAAAATTATGCTATAAATGCCTATTTTTATAGTTTAAACCCTAAATATGCCCCAAAACACATTAATTTCAAACTCGGCTTCATACAACACCCTTAAAAAAAAAGAATGTAAAGATAAATTCATATACAGTACTGTACTGCTATGTCTCCCGCTGTGCTAGAATGTAAAATACCAATGTTACCCTCATATGTACTGTAAGTCATGCAGCCCCATTTTCTTTGGTATACTGTAATTCATGCAACCCCGTTTTTTTTTTTTGGTATACGTACGGTACATATACGGTAATAATTTAATTTAGTAAAAATAAACTTAAATGTACGGGTACTTGCCAATAATGACTGATACCAGTTGAAGATGATGATGATGAATTAGCTATGCAGTACAATGAAGGTAATGACTGCATAGCAAAGCAAAGCTCTCATTTAAGCCATAATGGCGTGCTACTGCGGCATAGCTTTTCTTTTCCCAGATCAAATCCAGAAATTCAACCTTCTCCTGGAGTGTCTTAAACTTCCTCTAGCACTTAGGTTCATTGTCAGAAACCTTAGAAGGTGTGGGGTGTTTGGGCAGCATCTTAGAGGGCTTAACCCCTTAACTGTCCAAACATAGATCTACGTTCTCTCGCCCAGCGCTCTGAATATTTTGAATTTTTTTTTTTTTAAATAAAGAGGACATTTATTTTACATTAAGTAAGGTAAAAAAAAAAATTTAGTCGGTACTTACGGAGATATAAGGCCACAAAGTCGGTGCTTGTCATTCACTTCATGGCAACATGAAGCACTGCCTCTTGCAGACATGTTGCAAATACAGTGGTACCTCGGGATACGAACAGCTCAAAACGCGAATAGTTATGTAAGTGTATTAATGTAAGTGCTTTTGTAAGTGTATTTTTGGGGGTCTGAAATGGATTAATCTGATTTTCATTATTCCTTATGGGAACAAATTCGTTTGGTATCAGCACTCGAACAGCCTTCTGAAACGAAATATGTTCGTATCCCGAGGTACCACTGTTTAATGTTTTTCCCATTTTTTTTTTAATTTTCTCAGTTTTTATGGTATGATAATTATGTTTTTTAGTAGATCTTTTGATTTGATAGCCAAATATTGTTCAGACGCAAATATTATATACGAAATTATTAATCATATTGTCACAAACACACATGTACACGCTTGTAGGTGATATTGTACACCTGGCTGAATCACATTCTATTATCTACAACTGTATACAAGGTATTTACATGTCCCAGTTATGCTTCTAGTACTCCAGAATTGCATGATACTCCATGAAGCATGGATTCATAAAGAGTGCCACTCCACATTGCTAACACATGAATCGTGTGTCCTTCTGCTGTTGGGGTTGCCTTGAGGTGTTAGCACATACAACACACTTTTTATAAGAATACTTCTTTTTTGGGGTAGACAGTACTGGTATCAGGTAGTGACAGTTAGCGAGGATTTGGTCTGACACTTTCCCCACTGGTTGGGGATGGGGGATAAGTCGCTGTTGAGGGACAGGTACAGGGGTGGTACCATACTTTTTTGCTATCTGCTTGATGACATTCAGGCTGAATTCTGCATAACGAAGTCATTTTCCTGTCTTTATTGCATACATATTGAAGGCATTGAGCACTGCAATGTCTACAAGGTGGAAAAACACTTTCATATACCGCTTGCGATTCCTATGCACACAGCCGACGAACCCTATCATCATGTCACGCTTGTCGAGTAGTTGCATATTGTTTGTATAGTTGACGTCAGCAGCTGGCTTTACAATGCGTTAATTGGTGTTCCTTTTCACTTTGTTTGCACCATCTCGTTTCTGTGGATGGTTGACAGCAATGTCAACCTGTTTGTCATGCCATGTCAGTGCCATGATATGATTGGCATGAAATTCTTACACTGCACCTTCAGCACTGCTTCCACTGAACCTTGGTATATGTTTTCTGTCTCTTCTCACTGTTCCACATTTTTTCTTTTTTTAAACAAGTTGGCCGTCTCCCACCGAGGCAGGGTGACCCAAAAAGAAAGAAAATCCCCAAGAAGAAGATACTTTCATCATCCAACACTTATACATAATCACTGTTTTTGCAGAGGTGCCCAGAACACAACAGTTTAGAAGTATATACGTATAAAGATATACAACATATCCCTCTAAACTGCCAATATTCCAAAACCCTCCTTTAAAGTGCAGGCATTGTACTTCCCATTTCCAGTACTCAAGTCCGGCTATATAAAATAACCGGTTTCCCTGAATCCCTTCACTAAATATTACCCTGATCACACTCCAACAGCTTGTCAGGTCCCAAATACCATTCGTCTCCATTCACTCCTATCTATCACGCTCACGCATGCTTGCTGGAAGTCCAAGCCCCTCGCCTACAAAACCTCCTTTACCCCCCTCCCTCCAACCTTTTCGAGAACGACCCCTATCCCGCTCTCCATGTCATTCTACTTTGATCCAATCTCTCTAAATGGCCAAACCACCTCAACAACCCCTCTTCAGCCCTCTGACTAATACTTTTATTAACTCCACACCTCCTAATTTCCACACTCCAAATTCTCTGTGTAATATTTACACCACACATTGTCCTTAGACAAGACATCTCCACTGCCTCCAACCGCCTCCTCGCCGCAGCATTTACAACCCAAGCTTCACACCCATATAAAAGTGTTGATACCACTATATGTACTTTCATACATTACCTTCTTTGCCTCCATAGAAAATGTTTTTTGTCTCCACATATACCTCAATGCACCACTTGCCTTTTTTTCTTCATCAATTCTATTGTTAACCTTGTCCTTCATGAATCCATCCGCTGACACTTCAACTCCCAAATATCTGAAAACATTCACTTCTTCCATACTCCTCTCCAATTTGATATCCAATTTTTCTTTATCTGAATCATTTGATACCCTCATCACCTTACTCTTTTCTATGTTCACTTTCATCTTTCTACCTTTACAAACACACACATCAATATTATTCATGCTTAGGAAATCAACGAGCATAAGGCTTGTATACCAGTTGTCTGTGAACAATGTATGACTCTTGCCAAGGTATGGCCTCATCATCTTGTGAACAACAACTCCAGAAATGCCCAACATCTGCCTGTCATTGAGTGTGTTTCTCCCGGTGCAGACAATGA